GCTAAAATCCAGCCCAGGCCCACGCGTCATGAGGACCATTTTCGGACCCGGGGAATGGGCGGTGTGTGTGTGCAAGACGGCGAGGATTCTTGAGCCTCATAAAAACTTGAGAAATCGGGCAATCGCAGCGCAATGTACGGATAACGTCCCCTCAATGCTTTCGTCCTGATGGCTTTCTTTCTGCATCCAACGGTTTTCTCAGTCTACCTTGGATCATGAGTGCCTTAGCAACAAAGTCACTGACGTGTTCATGAAATAACTTCACTCATTAATTATTTCCAGCGAGTGTATGGGGGTAGCCAGCGACGGCACATGAAAACTTTGCCAGAGAATGAATTTACCTCGACAGATATAGGCACTAGATGACCATGGAAAGGCAACGGGATTGGCAGATCTAATGGCGCACTTCTCCGATGGCTGCTACTAGGTATACGCAGGTGTTTTGTCAGCTGCGGTCAGTTTAGGGCCGCTGCGGATAAATAACCCTAATCTCGTGCCTAGTTTACGCCAGAACCTCTGGGCAGTAAGCCTCGTCACGGTCGGAGAAGCGGGCCACAGAACCACGCCCGTAGTGCCTATTATTATATAATCCGTCGCAAGGCTTAGCGTAGTGTGAGGGCACACTTTAGATTTGGAGAAAGTAAGCATCAATTACCACTACTTTTCGGGTCTCAATACTGATCGCATCATCGATCCACAGGCTTCATCCGAAGTTAGATCAGAAAGCGGTCCCCCAGATGGCCGCCGGTGCACACACATCTTTCTCTCGCAAATCTTAAGCATCTCCTCAACATACAATTGGATTTAAAAGCTGACTCTAGGTCACACAATCAAGCCACAGTATTTCATGGTATCAGGATCAAGCTCGATAAGCGTCGAATAAAAGAAGATCTCTTGCTACCCGATGGTCCCAGGATCCAGGACCTCCACACAGATCAAAGGATGTGTACATGGAGTAACGCCTAAATGTCAAAGCGAAGCAAGTCAAAACAACAACTGGAAGTTTATAAAAGATGGATCATGCCGAAAGGGGGCTCCATCATTGATGTGTCTACTCAGTATCTTATCCATGAGCATAGCAGGACATTACATGGAATCAACGTTCAAGAATCTTCCTAGGCTCACCCAAATGCGCGGCATCAAGAGTACGTTGTTCACCCTCTCAAAATTTACGTTAAAGACCGAGTTATAAACTGTTGAATGCTTAGGGTACCGGGTTATTAGTTGTGTGCCGAGAACGACTCAGGACACGATAAGTTGCCCCGGAACCTGAATCTTTGATATCTCATCCTACGATAGGCCCAATTACCGTCATAATTCAATTCATTCCCTCGGAAAACAATCTACCCGAAATTGTTTACGTTAAAGGGCAATGAAGTACCTTAAATAGGTATTGGGAGACTTGAGTGCGGGCTAAGACGGGAATATAGTTCGATGCATCTTAGGCAGCCGGTATGCGGTGATTACTATACCCTTTTCATCATCATTAGTTCCGCAAGATTAGCAACTGCTTCCCAACGCCCCCCCTTTCGACAATGGCATCACCCCTTTGGAAATCTCGGTGCCTAAATACCATCACATGTAAGGAACCACCTCTTTCGGCCCGATAGATCATCGCTGCATATGACCATGTTATTTGATAATCTGTTCTAAATCCACTTGATAATTGCGACTATTGGTCTCTATGGAGTATGCTGTCTGATCACCAGTTGTTTGTGATAGCCGCCCGCGCTTACTTGGAGCAGGGACTTTTGTTTTGAACTACCTATCTCAAGCCATCGAAGGAACGGCATGTTGTGTGTCTCTCCTCCTTTTGTCTGTGCATATCTTTGTTTCAACTTCAGGGTCCAATAGTCGAGATAGCGCGATGACATTCATCCCACATCCAGCGATGAGCCGGGGTACAAGCCGCATTCAGAATGATGCGTCACCGCGACAGTAAACCAGAAGCATATGAAAGACATCTATTAGAGGAGGCAGTTATCCATCAATGCACATTAGGATTCAAACGGAATTGAAGGGGCATGGCGGCCTCGGATGATTGTATTCAGTTGCCGTTCATTCAGGGGTATGGTCAAGATGCCCAGAGCCGCTCTGGGGGTTTGCATCAAGGTGGAGAGAATGCGCATCTTACTTTAGTTGTATTGTTACAACTAAAGTTGCAACACGATCGACGAGGAGTTCCCGAAAAGAAATTTGAAAGGGGCGTTGATTATGATGCCTTTTCAGACCATGACGTCCGATGCTGGGATTCAATCCTGCGTTGGAAGAGCGCAGTTCTTCATTCCTGTGTACGAGTCAAGGTTACCCTGCTGCCCCTCGCGGAAGTTTCTAAGTATCTTGGGATGTTAGCTTAAAACATCGCATCTGCCACCCGCTCTTCTTTGTGAACCGCACCACCTTGCTCTACTGTCCTTCATCTCCAACCACATTCTACCCTCACTTGACATTCAAACTATCCCATCATGGTCTGTTTTTCTCTTCTGGTGCTTGCATGCGCACTGCCGGCTACCTATGCGTGGTTGCCAAATGATGGCTCCACCAAGCTCGTCGACACCGATGGGCACAGTCTGTTTGAAGGAAATGGGACATCCTCCAATAAGAGTGGTATCACTCCACGCTGGTGGAACAGTTCTGGGAAGATTAGAGGAGTCAACTTAGGCTCAGTCTTCGTCTATGAGCCGTGGATTGACTCAGGCGAATGGAACAAGATGGGCTGTGGTTCTTACAAGTCCGAATTCGACTGCGTTTCGAAGCTTGGTCAGGCGAAATCTGACGCTGCCTTTCAGAAACATTGGGACACCTGGCTCACCGCGGCCGATCTGGACGAGATGTTGACTTACGGTATCAACACTATTCGCATCCCACTAGGGTATTGGCTTGACGAGTCTCTCGTCGATAAGTCGGAGCATTTCCCGAAGGTAAGGCCCCCTTCGCCATCCTTATGAGAGCGGGATCAGAGGAAATAATGTCTGACTTGCACAGGGTGCTGTGACTTACTTGATCCGGCTCTGCGGCTGGGCTAGTGACCGTGGTTTCTATATCATCTTGGGGTACGTCCAACCATTATGTTATCTTTAGGTATCGCTGTTCTTAAGCTGACAGTCATCCAGCCACCACGGCGCCCCAGGTGCACAAGAGCGGCAAAATCCGTTCACCGGCCAGGTAGGATATCACAATTACTGATTTGCTAGCGTCGAGGAAGAGATTCGTTCTAATTCGGAATATGACAATAGTACGCTACTACCCCGGGCTTCTACAACGACTACCAATATAATCGCGGTGTCAAATTCCTGAAGTTCCTCAGAAAGCTTGTCCACGATCACAACGAGTTCCGCAACGTCGGTATGATTGAGGTTCTAAATGAGCCCGTCGCCTGGGATCGCAAGGTGCAATCGATGCGGTCCGTCTTCTACAAGGACGCTTACACGGTACATCATGCTACGCTTCGCCTACAGTGGTGTTAATGTTGCAGGGGCTGATAATACTGGGACAGGGAATTCGCCAGGTCGAGAAAGACCTCAATGTGGCTCGCAACAATTACGTCCACATACAGATGATGAACACAAACTGGGGCTCCGGGAATCCGGTCGAGTTCTTGAGCGACACCTATTTCACCGCATTCGATGATCACCGTTATTTAAAGTGGTCGACGAGCGTTTCTGTCTCGCATCAGAGCTATATCTCAACTTCTTGCAAAGATAACCGCAACTCAGATGCCGCTGGGCCTACCATAGTTGGCGAGTGGAGTATCGCAGTGCCAGACAACGTTGAATCGACGGATGGGTGGAGCCCAAGCAAGCAGAAAGCCTTCTACAAGAAGTGGTTTGCTGCTCAGGTTTACTCTTACGAGAAATCGACTGCAGGCTGGGTTTTCTGGACGTGGAAGACCGCGCTTGGCGATGACTACCGGTGGTCCTACAAAGGTAAGTCACATACGTCTCAAAATGTTCTCGAGCTTTATGATTCCCACATTTGACTAACTCTCTTAGCCGCCGTTGCTGCCGGTGTCATTCCGAAGGACTTGAACACTATTGCCACTTCTGGTGTTTGTGGATAAAAGACGGTTCCGTATGAGAGATTGCTTGGAAACTCGAGCAGCGCATGAGCGTTTTGCCACATGCAGGATTCTACATCATCTAACATCGCTTCGCTTTGGATTGCATTGGGAAACTCTTCCCGTCATTCTTCAATTCTTTATATTTCGAAAACGGCTTTTGACAGTTTGGGAGGTGGATGCACTGGTGCTTTTTCTTGGAGACTGCCTCTTAATAACATTACTTTGAAACTGTGCACCAATCCTTCATCATCACATGTATGCCTGCTGTCCAGAGCTGCAATTAATTGCCTGAGCAAGCTATTATACTTATGTTTCACTGAGAAGCAATCATGATTTCCATGCACAACAGATGAGTACTTTAGGAAAGGCACACAACCGCCTGTCTATCGTCCATCCCTTCTTATGCCCCGATTGGTGCTGCTGCAAGATTCGACCTAACAAGGTTCTTTCGAGGGGACATATGCCAAAATAGCAGCATCATGTCGTTCAGTAACGTTGGCTAAGGAATCACAGATGCTCAAGTGAAGGCTGTAAATATCACTTCTTTTGGCGGCCAAGACTGACTGGGGAATATCTGCGGGAGAACGTTTTCCGCAATTGAGCACGACTGGGATTCATAAAGTATTAATATAAATCATGTCCTTGAAGCGGATCATGGCAAAAGCACGCAAGTGATTGCAGTCAGACAAATTCCAGTAGTGAGCAAATACTTATGTTTACGTGCTGCTACCCGAACAAAAAATGTGAGATAAATCAATTCTTTTGAGAGAGTGGGATACTAAGGAAGCCGCAAAGACCATTCAATAATGCTAATGTACACGAAAAATAACCCCTTTCCATCACCTTATACGGAGTCTCCTCTGCGTCTTGTAGTGATGCATTTACATGCAGCACATCTCTATGGCTATCTGGAGGATTGCATCAGCGTTCAACTCGAGGCTCAAGCTCGGATCCTTTTGAGGAGGCGATTGCCGAGTGCCGAGATGCTGTCTTCAAATTCATCGTAAGTGTTGGCGGCCCAGGTAGCACCATGAGCGCCAGGAACGGCGTCCTTGCCCGGGAACGCAATGTAGAGTACATCAGACTGGTCATGTCCAGCATTGCCATTCATACCAGTTCCAAAACAAGCCGTAGCAAGAGAAAGCGAGGCTTCACCGACCATGGCTTGGCTGCCATCATCACCGTTGGTGTCGGCCCAGATACCATAGATCTACAGGTTTCGAGGTTTAGAAGTTGCGCCAATGAAAGATAAATCAACAACGAAAGGTACAGAGGATGGACTCACAACTTTGTTGTTGCAAACAACTGCCATGACGCTGAGGGGCTCAATGCCATGCTTCTTTGGGTCGAAGGTAGGCCATCCGGGCTTAGATCCGTCGTTGCCGAAAACAACGTAAGGGTGAACATACGCGTTCAGATCATTGATTCCGGCCTTGTAACCTTGGATTTCGGACTTGAAAGACGTCTGCGGCTGCGTGTCGGTGGAGGAACCGCACCGGCCGTCTCCATGAGTCTCCGCACCATCGCAATCAATGTCCATGTTCGCGAGGCGACCTCCCGAACCCTGGATGTAGATGACATTGTAATTGCTCAAGTAGTCGCCACAATAGCCATAATCTGTGATGCGGATAATTTGTCCGTGTTAGGGTCACTGGGCAATCTATTCTCTTGGGACATTTCTCGGTCGGCTCACCTCCTTTGCCGCCCTCCTTGCTATGGAAGCCGGTCTTGAGGACGTTGGAGCATTGCTGCCGGCTACGAACTTGGTCGTAAAAGGCCTTAACGTTAGCTGGAACGTCTCTTGCCGTCGCAGGTACAGCTAGCAGCGTGGCAAAGGCACACGCGTAGGCGAAATTGTGGAACATGATGGTAATAGAAGGTTGGCGAGACTTTTGCGAATAGAAAGCTTTGAAGCTGGTGAACAGATCGTTTGATCGAACAGCGATCATGTTTCGGTTCTTATAATAATGTTTCCTGTAATGGCCTTCGGCCGAGAAACACTCTGATCCAAGTTCCCGAGCCCCTGAGTCGTGTAAACCACGCCATGATGAGCCTAGCTTGGAATATGTTTTATTAAAAGACCTCGTGTTTGTAGTTAAACCAGGGTAATGTTCACTTGGAACAACAGGCTGCAGATCGTAATCCTTCACGTTGATAGAATGATGGCAAAAGAAGACTTCCGGCATTCCCAAACGCCATTGTCTATTCCCACACTGGATTAGTTGACCACTCGTCAGAGCTATGCGCCGCGTAAGGCTTGGATCAATATTTTGACCATGAAATCCACGAGACGAAGAGCGCCCGAGTCTTACATTGAAATGTGTGATCTCAAATGATTATGTGGGAACCAAGTGATGCAGGAAATAATTCTTGTTCGTTGTAACCAGTCCTTTGCAAAGGACCCACTGACTTCTTTGTCGATCCGGAATGATGACTTTTCAAGTGGTTAAGTGGTAAACGTTCAATTTGGACGGAAGAGGAAATCTTGTTCATATTCCCGGCCGGGATGTCTAGGCAGCCAAATTGAGACTTGCTCGAGGTTTGTTCCACAACCAAGGATCGCTCTTGGGCGGGCCGATTGTGCTTGCTTAGTCTGTTTCACTAGCCGTAAAAGACAGGTTGAAAACGATTGGACGGATGTAAGACAGCCAGGGCTGCATCGATTGTCAACTATCCCACACGGTCTGAAAGACCTCAATTTCCGTAGTAGCGGAAGTGGTAGCTTCGGGAAGTTTGACACCCGATCTTTCTATGCATTCAACAGTTTTCAATTCACGAATCACAACAAACTCGTATCAACTAGCTGATGCATGCAAGCACAATGGCGTAGCTAACAATTACTATAGTCGTTGTGGGAGTGGGTACTGTCAAAAGATTCGAGGGCTTGAGATGGCAGTTGAGCTACTGACTCGCAAAGACTTGGAGCCAACCTTGAAGGACAAAGTCAGTAACCCCAGCCTCATGGACAAAAGTGGAAGGTACATGTGGGATACCGAATGGCTAGCAAGCGGTCTTACGGGCATTTGATCCTATGGATTGCGACGCAAAGTGGTTGTGGGACACGAGAAGTAGGCCACGCCGAAATTAAGCCTTGGTTCATCGAGAGTTAGTGGACGATTACCAGTTCTCTATCAACAGTGGCCGAACGTGCAAGAGAGTATCACTCATCGCTCTGGAATCGAAGAGCAGAAGTGACAGCTTGGCATGTTTTCAGCCGGGTATCACGGACAGATTATTTATTATCAAGCCTTACGCCCAGTTTACATGATTCTTTCCCATCAGGCTTTCTCCCAAATCAGTCCTTTCAGCCACACCAATAGCACCTTTGACTTCGCCATACATATTGAATTCAAAAGTCACGGTCGACTGCCTATATACAATTCTTGCAAGATGCTCTCTTCCTTACTCCCGAGTCTTCTTGTTCTAGGTGTGTCTCAGGCCGTCGCCGGCGAGGCAGTCTCAGGCTCTCACACGAAAGGCTCTATCTTCATGTTCGGGGACGCAACTGTCTGCCGCAACATTTTCTGGAGAAACGGCGCCTGTGGTCTCAGTACCTACTTTGCCAACTCGGTCGACCGCAGCCTCCCACTAGTCGCGATGCCGTCCGGCATTTTCGAGCCGTACGGTCAAGCGCAGAACAACAGGCTCTGCGGCAAAGTAATCACGATGACGCACAAAGGTGTCACTCGAAAGGCTGTTATAGCCGACCAAAACACCAGCAGCGAGCATTCTATCGATATGTGCTTGGACACGTGGCAAGCATTTGGAGGACATGACAATGATGGAACTCTTCGCAAGGGCATTCAGTGGAGCATCGCTATTTGATGAGCACATCTTCAACATTGTCAGTTTGGCGGAAGGAATTGGCACCTCGGGTCTGTCGCGAGACGAATAGTCTATCGTCATTCTAAGAGACTAGATTACTGCGATTGTATCCAAGATATCCAACTCCGGAATAAAGAGCCTTGATAACGACAGATTCCATCTAAATAGATCCTCAAATTAATCTAGAGGCAAGCTTCCAGCCCCGATGGAATTTTTCGTAGTACCCAGGCTTCCGGGGAAGCACTTTTTCTGATTCAGACCGAGTGATAACTACATGTATCTTTCCCGTACTTCGTAGACCATGGAAAATTGTAAGAGAATATCATTAGAATAAAGTAGTCAAGTACAACAAACAACTGTGCTAAGAAGTAAAAGCGGCCACAGCATAATCGCCTGACATCCATTCGTTTCGCAACCCTTTTCACTATGAGATACACGCTTGATGAAGAAGTCTCAGTCTCTTGCAAGCCTGACTCGAAGCACCCAGCCTGATACTACACCACATGTAGTCTTGGGAACCCCATACTCAATCCTCAATCATTCGAATTACCACAGATTCGAACTTACGTCTGGAACAAAGCGTTATTGAGGCATGCGACAACCGAGTCTCCGTTGGTAGCGGTCGAGGACAAACAAGTAAGGGCAGCTCCAACAGCGAATGGACCAAGGGCAGCTGTGCACAACGGCAGGTCGACAACCAGCTCCGCTGCAGTATCACCTGCCAGGGCGAGACAAGGCTCTGGCAAAGTCGAGATGCACTGCGTACTGAGAGCAGTCGTCAGGCAGGTCACAATATCCTGTCCAACACTCAGAGGGCCAATGACATCAGTAGCAAGACAGGTTGCCGCGTTTCCAACACCGTAAGCGCCAAGGGCTGCCGTACACACCGGAATTGCCGCAATAAGGGCAATGCCGTTGACAGAGGCGAGACTCTGGCAAGGCTCAGGGACCGTGGCGCAGACCGAAGGCGTAGGGGTTGCAGTGGCAGTCGGACAGTAGGCGGAGTTGGTGATTGTGACCACGCCAGATTGGAGGCCAAAGGCAATTTCGAGACACTGAATGATGCTCGTGCCCGTAGTAGATGCTGTGATGGTTCCCGTTGCAAGACAGGTCGCAGCACTACCAGCGGCGAAGGGACCAAGGGCAATAGTGCACTGGGCCACATCTGCGACAAGAGCCAGACCGTTGGACGACGCTAGATCAGTACACGCTGTCGGCAGGGTTGAAATACAACGCCCCTCGAGAGCGGTGAGAATGCAGCTTGCGATGTCCGAGCCGGCAGTAGTGAGGCCCACGTTGGTTGCAAGACATGTTGCAACGTTGCCTGCTGCGTATGGACCAAGAGCCACAGTGCAAGATGCCACAACCGGCACGAGAGCGAGACCGCTGGTGGTGGAGAGTGAGGCACAGGCTCCGGGCAGGGCGACGTTGCAGTATTCTGAGGTGCTCGTTGCGGTCACGACGCATGCGGAAACTGTGGAGCTCTGCGAGGTTGTGGTTGTTGGAGTCCCTGTCAGCGTGCTAGATGAAGACTCAGAGGACGAGCTAGATGACGACGACGAGGATGAGCTTGAAGAAGACTCGGTCGATGAGCTTGACGAGCTAGATGAGGACGAAGTCACGCTCGAGGACGACTCGGTTGAAGAGCTAGATGAAGAAGGAGTTGCGCTCAAAGACTCAGAACTTGTGCTTGAGGAAGATGAAGATGTAGCAGGCTCAGTCGATGTGGTAGTTGAAGACGAGGCGGAACTGCTAGGGTCGGTAGAGGTTGAGCTTGACGATTCAGAAGGCGAAGAGGAGGCGGTAGATGACTCTTGGGAGCTAGAAGCAGCGCTTGAAGAAGTTTGCGAGGAACTGCTTGTGTCCGTAGAGGTAGTGGTTTCTATCACAGCGGTCGAGCTCGCAGAAGTGGACGTCTCACTGGAGCTCGTGGCTGGATCTGATGAGGTAGCCGACGATGGAGACGGAGTTGTGCTTGAAGCCCCGGAACTGACACTTGCAGAAGTCGTAGGGTCAGCCGGAGTGAAGATGATGACGGTGCCAACAGTAGCGGTGCCAGTAGGAGCGATGGACAGGGTGGAGGCGACAGTGCCAGTCCAAGGACCGCTGATAGTGGTGTAAGGGCCCGTGAAGGTAGTCTCAGCGGCGGTAGGCAGAAGCACGAGCTGGGTTCCAGTGGCATCGGTTCCAGACGGAGCAAGCGTAACTGTAGTTGGAATAGTACCAGTCCATGGTCCGGTCAGAGTTGTGTAAGGGCCAGTGAAGGATGTAGCGGCGGTTGTGGGAACGAGAACGATTTGAGTTCCGGTGGCGTCTGTTCCAGCCGGAGCTAGGGTCACCGTGGTAGGAATAGTCCCGGTCCAGGGGCCAGTCAGAGTCGTGTATGGCCCAGTGAATGAGCCAGCCATAGAAGTGGGTGTCAAGACGATTTGAGTTCCGACCTGGTCAGTCCCTTGAGGCGCGAGGATGGCAGTGGTCGGAACTGTTCCGGTCCAGGGCCCAAAGATGGTTGTGTATGGTCCAGTGAATGGGGTGACGATTGGGGAGGAGGTAGGCGTCAACACAATTTCAGTTCCGACTTGATCGGTTCCCTGAGGTGGGAGGTAGGCGGTTGTAGGAATTGCGCCAGTCCAGGCTCCGGTGACTGTGGTGTAAGGACCAGTGAAGGAGCTCAAGCCGGCGGATGTCGGCAGGAAGACAATGGCAGTTCCAGTTGGGTCACTTCCCTCAGGCGCTAAAGACAGGGTTGTTGGCTGGAGTCCCGTCCAAGTGCCAGTGATCGTCGTGTAAGGCCCGGTGAAGAGAGCTGGTGCCGCAGTAGGGCTTAGAACAATTTGGGTGCCTGTCTTATCGGTACCTCGGGGCGGGAGAGTGACAGTCGTCGCGGTGCTTCCTGCCCAGGCCTCGGTGAGTGTGGTATAGGGCCCCGTGAAGACACCCTGGGCTCCGACCTGCCCAGATGCTTCGGGAGCGAAGACAATGACGGTGCCTGTTGGATCACCCCCAGCCGGCGCCAAAGTCAGAGTCTTCGTGCCCTGGC